TTGCTATGCCTCTTCTGCAACTTTAATTTACCCAGGACTAGATAACTAAGCATCACTCCCTTTCTCATAGACACAAACAGTGGAGAATTGAGTCCTGAAACCATACTAGCGGGTCAGACTTTTTAAAAAGTAAATAATTCCTTCTAGAAATCACATTCTGGGACTGAAATAAGCAATTTTCTGGCCACACAATTGTTTTTGAGATGCAGAGGATGCCTTTTTTATATTAAATCCATCTACAAAAGACTCTGACTACTATTTGACTCTGAATAAAATCTTTTGAAAAGTTTAGTTTGGAGTGGGAATCACTGCATAGGAGTCAAGAAGGCAAACTCAAACAGCCAGCAGATTATGCTGAATTTTACTCACTGCTTACTTAGAATGCAGTTGTTATGAATATGTAATAACAATATTTCTAGGTTTTAACAGTGATTTCTGAAATTATTAGGTTTGAGAATGGCTACTAACTTCAAGAATGCTGTACTTTAGATACATTAGAATATAACAAAAACGTGTTAGAAAATTTAGCTGTACTTTTTGAGTACATTACAGTTATCGGTAGTTAATATTTGTGTGGTCCATTAACAAATCAAAAAAGCGTTTTGAGTACTAACAGGAAAAATGTTGACCCTAGCACACTGCAGTATATTTTACAGCGGGATGTGTGCTAGATTTAAAAACTTTGAAATGCTGTAGTTTAAAAAAAAAAAATCATTCTATATTGCTATTGGTAGAGTGCCATGTAACTTTTTAAAATGTCCTCTTTTCTTAGAGCTCCTTAGTAGACATTTATAACCAGTTCTTGGCAGCGTTAGAATCACTGAAAGAATTCTGGAATGCTATGGATGAAATTGATGAGAAGACTTGGGTACTTGAGCCAGAAAACCCCACACGGAGTGCCACAATGAGAAGAATTGCAATAGGTAGGAAAACAGGAGAAGGAATAAAGTATTTTTTTTTAAACAGAAGTGAAGTTGATTGTTTTGCTTTACTTAATAAAGAACAAGGAATAGGAAAACAAAGGTTACACTTAAAAAAAACCAAACAATTACATGTTCGTTATTGTACAAAACTAACCTGAGGCAGAATATTGAATTTGTTTGGGAGAAAGTATAATTTTGTATTTTTAGTTTTACATTTAAAGTTCTGATATAAATATTTATAAATTACAAACACAAGCATTGATTAATTCAAAACTGAGGACACATTTGTGATAATCGTATATAAGAAGTATTTCCGTATAGGATTTTTAAATAAAAGAAAAATTAGTTTACTTTTTAAAAATTATTCACTACTAATTGTAATGAGAAACCCCTGTCAGAAAACTAAATTTTGGAATACATTTTAGGTTATACTGTAAATATTTTTTTAGTATGAAACTGTTTTTGGAAGGATGAAAGAACTGAAAATGCAATTCCTCTCCCCTGCCTTTTCTTGATTCCTGAGGGTATGTCTATGCTGCAGTAAAACACCTGCAGCTGTCCTGTGTCAACTGACTTGGGCTTCAAGGCTATAAAACTGCAGTGTAAATGTTTGGGCTCTGGCTGGAGCTGGGACTCTGGCACCCTCCCCACTTGCGGTTTATCAGAGGACTTTAACTCACTGCCTAGATAAAACTTGTTCATACTGAACTGAAATTTGTAGTCATGAACACCATCAGTTCAGAATTCTAAGCCAAATAGCTTATTTTAGCCATCTAAAAGCTGTAACAATGTTCATAAAACGACAGGTGTGCTCAAAACAACTCATTTGAAAAACATAAGTACTTTCTCTATTTGTGGTTATAAAGGAAAGCTTTACACCGTTCATTTACATGCATTCTCTCTCATTTCAGGAAACAATGTTTCCATAAACTTAGAGGTAGATCCCAGGCATCCAACTATGCTTCCTGAGTGTTACTTTCTTGGAGCAGACCATGGTAAGGGTCACATCCTGTCCTGATTTTTCCCACATTTTATATGGGGATGATACACAAGCTGGGAAAAAAACAGCTTACCTGTCAGATGCCAGGCTGAGTTTGCAGGGATAACAAAAACACAAAACACCTAATTCTTTTAAGTGTTGATTGAGCAAATTTGTTCTGCAAGTTACTGAGAGAAAGGTGGAACGCTACACTTTTTTTTTTTAGTCCTTTTCCAGCAGAATCACAATTCAGGAGATGCCCTGTGTCCTGTAGAGAATTATTCCTAAAGATAATTATCTGACCATATCTATGATTATTTTGCCTGGTTTTTTTGTTTGTCATAAATAATCCACTGCAAATTTCCTAATGTCTTTTCCTCTATTTTCTATAGCTCCTTGCCATGTTTTGAGGGGAGATCATACCTTTGGTGTACAATGTCCCAAAACTTAGCGCAATTATCATTCAAATATGATAACTGGGGGCCAGATTTGTAAATGTATTAAGATGCCTAGTGGGATTTCAAATGCATAGGCACCTATCTGCATATTTAGGTGTCTAAATACCTTTAAAAAATCTCTAGTTGTAAGTGCCGGAATGTGGGGGAAGTCTCTTCCTGTGAGTAATATAAATATCTATGTATAACTTTGTAGTGGTAAATCCTCTGAGAACTAAGCTGAACAACAACATGCACTTGTGGTAAGTGTTTTCACTAATACAATTTTAGTTTAAAATCTGCATTTTGCAGTTCCATGTGTTGAAGTCTATTTTCTTCTACTTGCAGGGATCCAGATATCACCCTACTACAAAATTTGAAAGAAGTTTTAGAAACCGATTTTCCTTCTCGTGCTGTGCTAGAAAAGACTGTAAGTATTGCTTTTTGTTGATGCTCAGTCTTTGTTTCTGAATACTATAGACTGATGAAAATGAAATTGTCACCTTATAACTGCCAGCAAAAATAAGAGTCAGAAAGGATGTAATTGGATTAATAATTTAGTTAAAAAAAAAAAAAAGGCTTCTGAACATCAAGCAACAATTGTTAGCTTATTAACAAATAGTTATAAGAGCACACTTTCCTATGGTCTCCACAGCATTAAGGTGATTAATTACTGGCATCAACATTAAAAGGGGAGGAGGAAATTCCATAGTATTAATAAAGTGGAAAATCCAAACATTCTGTTATGGCTATTGATGATTTAGAACGCTAATTATGTAGGTAGATCTGCTTAGAGGGAACAAGAGGCCATGCAAATAATGGTGCTGCATCTTCAAGTCGTGTCCCTGTGGATGCTCCTCTGTTGGCGTGCTTGTGTCCTTGTGCTGCTGATCAGAGAACTTTGGTAGTAGTCAGTTTCACCCGCGCATGTGCTGCTCCCCACCTGCCACAAGGCTAGCCAGCATGTGTGGGTAATGCCTCCTCAGTTCCTTCTCAATCATCCTTGGCTAAAGACAGAACTAGAGCTGTCCGTTCATGGATTGTTATCTCTCTTAGAATTGCTAATTTTAACTTCTTTTGAAGCCCTTTTTCTTTCTTTGCTTCATTATATTTTATTTTGGCCATTGCCTAGAAGAAAAGAAAAGGACTTTGTCTTCTGTTGCCCCCCAGTCGGGGGGGGGGGGGCGGGCCTGGACAAGGATATGCCTGATTCTCTGGGCTTCAAAAAGTGCCTCAATTACAAGGGATCTATCCCAGTTACCAATGGACACTCACAGTGCATTTGCTGTCTGGGGAGAGAAACACATTCCACAGAAGTGTGCAGCAACTGAATCCCAGATCCAGGAAGGATAGAGGCTCAAACTCCTACTCATGGAGTCGGTCCTTTAACCTCTGGAGTCTTGGTGGTAACCCTCAGTATAACCCTCTACTTCGAAGGGAGGTGAGCTCAGAGAGATGCCTGCGAGCCACTCATGTAAGGCCTCTTAGAAAAGATCTGTGAGTCCCCATAGCGAGTACCGATCGAGCCAAAAATTATCCCTGTCTCGGTCAGTATCAGTACCGATGGCACCAAACCTGTCTAAATCTGGTACCCATAGCATGCATGGTACTGAACTGACAAGGCAACTTGGAATGCGTAGAGACTCAACGGGTGCAGGCAAAGAAGCATCAGTACCATGGGGGCATGAGAAACATAGAAGATCCGCCCCAGGGAAGGCTCTGTCAGTACAGTCATCAACATCCGTACTGCCACAATACCGAGTTCACCCAGAGTCCTTTTCGTTGTCTGAATCAGAAAGTGAGCAAGAGGACCTAGCTTCCCAACACCCTTCTCACCCACCATACAGAGCCCAGTTTCACTATGGACACCGGGCATACCACCCTTCTGACCCACAACGTTCCTGGTATGGGCAACTGTGGTACCAACCACTGTGTCCCCTTCCCATCAGAGTGGCCATACTGGGAACCTGGCAGGCCCAAAGGGAACAAGCCTCCATCACTGCTAGTATGGCATACCAACAGCCGAGGAAGTACCCTCCTTCAGCCGCTGCCTCAAGGGCCTCTGAACTCCCCAAGCAGGCTAGGGAGGAACCGGAGGCCAAAGTCAAAGAGGAAGTTACTCCTCCAGCCCACTTCTCATCATCACCAGATGAGACTGTGATGCCCCCTCCACCATCTATGGCAGATGACTTTAAGCTGTTCCAGGTCTTGGCACAGAGGGTGGCAGAGGCCTTTACAAGCAGTGTCTGAGTTGCACTCTGGAGGAATGTAGAATGTCCACCACCTAGTGGTGGTGGACATTCTACATTCCTCCAGCTCCTCCAGAGTGCCCCCTCCCTATTAATGAGGCTAATGAATTCTGCCAAGGTGATATGGCAGGCCTCTGCATCCATCCCACCAACTTGCAAGAGGGCGGACAAGACATATCATGTGCCAGCAAAGGACACAGAATTCCTATTCTCACACCTGCCTCCCAATTCGATCATTGTGGATGCAGTTAACTCTAAAGGCTGCCAACACCACTTTAAGTCCACCCCTTATAACTGGGACTGGGAGCACCTGGACCTGTTTGGTAGTAATGCCTATTTCTAAGCCACCCTTCAATTCAAAGTGGTGAACTATCAAGCCTTGTGGGCTAAATATGACTCTCAGAACTATGTGAAATTTAGTTCTTTTATTGAACAGCTTCCCCATCCTCACAAGGACCAATTTAAGGCCTTGGTTAATGAGAGCCAGTTGGTGGCAAAAAGTCGCTCCAGTATGCATTTGACGGTGGCACGATCTATTTTGACTGCGTTGTGATGAGACAGGCCTCGTGGCTTCATCTCTGACTTCCTCAAGGAGGTCCAAACAACGGTGGAGAACTACCCCTTTTAGGGGACAAAATTATTTGCTGAAAAGACAGATGCCTCCCTCCATCTGTTAAAAGATTTGAGGGTCACTCTTCAATCCCTTGGGATCTATATACCTGGGTATAAAAGAAAGTACAGCCCTCAGCCACCATTCAAGCCTTGCTCACAATACTCATCTCAGTAGTCACAATATCCATCTCAATATACACAGAGATTGTATGAACCTCAGAGGAAGAATCCCAGGTTCTCCAGATGGAAGATGTTGGGATCTCAGCAAACTGCCTCTCAGCCCTCCACCTCGAAGAAATAGTTTTGACGGGTTGATTGAGGTGCCCGTAGAATTCTCTCCTCATTTCACGATGGAAAACACCCATCCCTTCGGAGATCATCTCGCCCCGTTCCACAGAACCTGGGAACAGATAACCTCCAACAAATGGGTGTTGGAGATCATCTGAGATGGCTACTCCACCTATTTCTCCTCCCTCTCCCCCTCCCAAACACCCCTCCCCATCCCTCTTCAGGGACCCTTCTCATAAGAGCCTGCTATGTCAGGAGATAAAGTATCTCTTCAGTGTAGCAGCCATGTTGCAAGTATCCACACATGTAAGGGGCAGAGGCTTCTAATTTTTTACTTACTGGAGACCCATACAGGACCTCAGAGCGCTCAAAAAGTTGATCAAGGCTCAGAAGTTCAAGATGGTCATGTTATCTATTATAATTCATTATCGTTAGAAAAAGGAGACTGGTTCTCGGTCCTTAACCTCAAAGATGCTTATTTTCACATCTTGATCATATCGAGCCACAGATGTTACTTCAGGTTCATGCTAGGTCAAGACCACTACCAATATGGAGTACTCCCTTTCGGCCTTTCATTGGCCCCCAGAGTATTCAAGATCCTTTTGGTAGTGGCGGCCTGTGACGTTATGAGGCCCACTTACGCTCTTAAGGCATCATGATTTATCCTCACCTGGACGACTGCCTTCTCAGGGTATGGTCCTTTGCAGAGTCCCAGCAAGTCACTCAGACCACACTGGACCTGTTTCAGAATCTGGGCCTACAGATAGATAAACAAAAATAGACATTAACACCCGTAGAGGGACTACAATTCATAGGAGCCAATCTCGACTCCATTCTTCCCACATCAGATTTCTCAGTCTCTCTTCGTTAATAGAGACAGTACAATCCAGCCCCCAAATTTTGGCCAAACATTGCCTCCAGTTCCTGGGCCACATGGCGATGGGCACATGGATTATTGCTCATTCCAGACTATGCATGAAATGTCTCAGAGCATGCTTTTGGTTCAGTTTAGAGGCCAAACAAAGACAATGTAGGCAAACTACTATCAGTGCCCACCAGGGTCAAGCGATCCTCTGATTGGTAGAAGGACCCGGTAAACGTCTGTACGGGAATCCCGTTTGTTCAGTCTTCCTGATCTCTACTCCTAACCGCATGGATCTCAATGGTCGCACAATACAGGACAAATGGTCTCCAGGCGAGAGATCAACACGTGCACTTGCTTCCTCCTGCTGATCAAAGACATGCACAAAAGGGTCATGACAGATAATATGGCCTGCATGTATTACACAAACCATCATGTAGGCAAAAGGTCTCATTCCCTGTGCGTAGAAGCACTAAAACTGTGGAACTGGTGCATCTCCCACAGTATCTTAATATCAGCTGCCTACTTACCAGGAATACACAACATGACGGCAGACAGTCTCATCCACAAATTCCCACATGACCACGAATGGGAGATAGATTTGGTGGTACTCCACAACATATTCTGACAATGGGGGATACTGGTAGTAGACCTATTCACTACTTACCAGAACAAGCAGTGTCCACAGTACTGCTCTAGAGTGGGGATCGGACGACATTCCATGGGAAATGCCCTCCTCCTTCCATGGGACAAAGGCCTCCTTTATGCTTTTCCCCCATTCCCTCTAATATTGAAAGTCCTGTTGAAAGTGAAGAGAGCAAGCATACTGATTTCTCCCACCTGGCCCAGACAGACGTGGTACCCTTACCTGTCACAGCTGGCACTGTGGCCACCGATGACTCTTCCAATCACTCCTTATCTTATGTCGCTGAAAGAGAGAGACACTCTCCATCCCAACCTGTGGATTCTGTGTCTCGAAGTCTGGCTCCTTCATGGTTCCAGCACATAGAGACATCTTGCTCTGAGGTGGTATAGGATTTGTTATTGCTCAGTAGGAAAGGAGCTACTTGCCATAACTATCTACAAACTATCTACAAAACTATCTCCATCCCAAACGTGTCATCCCTAATACATCCACCCTACCAGTGATCATAGACTACCTGTTGACTCTCAAGAAATCGGGACTCTCTATTGTTTCACCTAGCAGCAATTGCAACCTTCCTTCAGCAGACAAGGATATTCAATCTTCTCCCATCCGACTATGAAGAAGTTTATTAAATGCATAGCAAACTTTTTCCCACAACCCAGACTTCCCATGCCTCAACAGGATCGCAACCTACTATTAAAAGGTCTGACTAGGCCACCATTTGAACCCGTGGCCACTTGTTCGTTAACTCACCTTACCATGAGGATGGTGTTTCTTATCGTCATCACCCCTGCAAGAAGGATTGGGGAAATAGAAGCTCCAATGGCACATTCCCCTTTCACTGGGTTCTTCCCTGACAAGGTCACGCTTAGACAACATCTGAAATTCATTCCCAACATGACTTCTGCCTTCACATAAATTAGCTTATTCAGTTTCCAGCCTTTTATCCCAAACCTCATAAGGATAATAGGGAAGCTATCCTCTATTTGCTCGGCGTGAGAAGAGCCTTCAGAAAATCTTCAAAACTCCTCCTCTCCATTGCAGATAGGTCAAAAGGCACAGTGATTTCATCTCACTGTCTCTCTAAGTGGGTCTTGGGCTGTATTAAATTCTGTTACCAATTGCATAATGTAACCCGCCCCTCCCCCCTATCTTCAATACGCACGCATTCTACGAGATTGGTCTCCTCATCCTTTGTCCAGGGTATTCCTATATCAGAAATCTGCAGAGCAGTTACCTGGGCATCTGCACATACCTTTGCAGAACACTATGGCATCCTGGGGATTTGGCTTCAGACTCCAAATTTGGTGCCATAGTACTATCATCCATATCCGACTCGACTCCAAAGTCACAATCTCCAGTGGTGGGCACTGCTCAGGAGTCACCTACAGTGGAGCCATCCATATGGACACCATTTGAGGAAGTTACTCACCTTGTGCAATAATGATTGTTCTTCGAGCTGTGTGTCCCAATGGGAATTCCCTTCTACTTCGGAGTCCTAGTAGTTGACTCTGCAGTAGAGAAGTAACTGAGGAGGAATTGCCCATGCATGCTGCCTAGCCTAGTGGCAGGCGGGGAGCAATGCATGTGCGGGTGGGACAGACTGCTACCAAAGTTCTCTGATCAGCAGCGCAGGGACATAGACAACCTACAGTGGAGCATCCATAGGGGTGCACATCTCAAGGAAGCAACATTACTGCACAAGGTGAGTACTTTCTTTATTGGAATTAACTTTTTCACCATACTATAACACAGGATTGAGTGTGGCTCTCACATGAAATTTTAAAGTTCTTAAGTTAAAAACTAATATCTTACTGAGGCCTTCTGTCTAATACAGTGAAAGTTCACTGTAGTTAAAAGCATGAAGACCATATGAAATAATGTAGTTAAAAAACTGCATGTCAATCAAGACTGGACATTGTTTTTAGGTGCATGAAATCATACTAGGACAAAAATGAGCCTTTTGCTGAATTATTATCAAATCTCTCGGGACAGATAGGGCTCCTCAGTCTGGATGGGTAGCCTATTTAGGAGAAGGAAAACTCTGATCTGAAACCCTCATCTATGGGATAAATAAAGCATGGTGTTGGGCAGCAGCAACAGCAGTACCGCCTCTTATTGATCCATCTGGTCTATAGCAACAAGATGGGGAGAGTTTGGGCATGTACTTAGTTCAACTGGGGAAAGGCCTTCTCACTGCAGTGTATGTCAGGGACACCAATTAATACACTATAGTTTCTGGCACAAGGTGACTAGTTGGTGCAAGCAATGTTTTTCTTTTTGGTGAGTTACCAAAGGGCAGTAGTAGATATTAGCAAGGGATAATGCTAATGGTGAGAGGGCATCTTAGCCTTATGCCAGAAGTTCACCCACCTCAAGCCTGGCAGCCCCAGCATCTGAGCTGGGGATTTCTGGCAGTCAGTGTCTGAACAGTCCTGTAAAAGGTAGAATGAAGAGTCAGATGAATCGCAACGACCTGCACAGCCAAAGAATTCCCATATAAGTAGCAATATTGAATGTACCCCATTTGACTGACAAAGGTGTGAAAGTAGCTGATATGAAGGTACGGAGAGGTATTTGTGTTCTATACCTGCAGAAAACACAGTGAATGGGGAATGCAGTGAGGGAGCTGGGCTTAAATTGTAAACTCTTCTGTGGTAACAAAAGCAGATGTAATGGAGTCAGGATGGTAGTGAGAGGAGAGCTGAGAGAGAACAATAATTGAAATTATTAGAGTAAGTGACCGAGTGATGGCTGTATGGGTCCAAATTAAGGAGCATGTTCTGTTTGTGATATCAGCATATGCACCTCAAGAAAGATGCAATGAAGCAGAGTTTCCACCAAGATTTGAAAGCACTAGCGGACAGAACCATGCCAAAGGAGATGTTGGATGACTTGAGATATGGAAGAGACAGGCAAAAACAGAAGGGGTAATATAATGTGTTTAGGAAATTCCAGTCTAGGTACTATGGAATGAGGAAGGGAAATTATTACTAAACCATATGTAATAGCCAATCCATGGTTTCAAAAGAAGGTGAATCATTTGGACACGTACATCAGTAGTGGAAATAAATTTGGTATTGGCTGAAGAATGGAACTACCTCAAAAGAACATGGATTGCAGCAGCGGAAGAGATTTGTGGCTGATGCAGATGGGGAAAACAGAGGGAAAGAGAAGAGTGGTGATAGACTGAAGCACAGGTAGTTACCCAAAACAAGAAAATAGAGCCTAAAGAAATACACTGAGTATAAATGAAAGTGAATAGAAGGAAGGAAAGTGAGCTGCCAAGCAGGCAATGAAGAAGGCAAAAAGAATGCCATACATGACCAAGCTTGTATGCCAACCTTGTAAACTATCCACAACTGGCTGGCAAAAAGATCTATAGCTTGACAAAAATGACCACACTCCACATTAAGTGTGGAGAGAGGGATTGTTGATTGCCTTGCTGGAGGAACCACTGGCAAAAATATCTACAGCATGGCAAAAATGGCCACACCACACATTAAGCAGGTATATGTGTGTGTGGGGGGGAAACGGACTGTTTGGCTGGAGGAAGGTGTGTACCTCTTTAAAGGATAGCAAGGCAAGGAGTGAGGTTGCAGCAATGGCAGAGCAGGTCAACGTGAGGATGCTGACCCATCCTCTTAGGTGACTGGAAGAGAGGAGAGGTTAAGTCAAGCAGGAAAAGCCCTCTTTTACCTGTACCAGGCAGAACAGCAAGGACTCAAGCTCTGCAATCTCCATGGTGCCATGTGGTAGCATGATGGTGAGAGCAGGGGAAGGGGTAGGAATGCTTCCCACACACACTTCAGCCCACAGAGGGAAAAGCTGGCATTTAGTAACAGAAGGGGAGCAAATTTTAGGCATAGCTCAGAACCTTCTGTATGGAGGGGATCAGATAAATGGATTGGTAAAGAATTCAAAGGAGGTATTTGTTAAAGGACTGGAAACTGGGAAGTTCAGGGCTCCTATTTCTCACATGGCAGGAAGCCAACTGCCCCTCTTAGAGCCCACCTTATCCCACATGGGGGAGATGGAAGGTCCCAGCAATAGGTGGGCTGGGGACTAGGATGGGAAAGAGGGTTGGCTGATGGAAGCCCCCCAGTATATATTGAAATGATAATGCCATTACCAGAATTATACACTTTTATCTGTGGGGAGCTCCCAGATAGTTAATAAAATGGTAGCCTAATTAAACCACATGCAGTTTCTCCTGTCCTTCCGGCATAGCTGGACAATGAGATCAAAAGGAAGGATGGTTTTGCAGTGCCATTCGTAAAGAATGACCAGAGGAGGCTATTAGTAACACATGAATAAGCAAAGGAGAGGTGGAAACAGTAGTTTGAGGGGCAAAACGGCCTTTTTAGCAGAGTTGCCAACATGTGAGCCCAATGTCAGATCTGAGTCTGACAATGGAGGATAAGGTGAGAAAATCTAGTCCAGAAAATGAAGAATAGTAAGGCATTGGGATCTGAGAAAATGATGGCAGACCTGGTGAAAATCCTGGGCAAGAGAGGTATGAAGTGGATGAGCAGAATAGTTAAAAGTCATAGAGTGAATCAAGAGAATTCCTGAAGACTGATGAGAATCTATTTTGGTATCAATACAGGGAAGCATCCATGAATGCAGACACTATCAAGGGATAAAGTTACCAGAACACACATTGGATGCTAGGATTGGGAGAAAGGTGGACAGGACAAGTGAACAAGAACAGTTCTGCTTTAGGAAAAGCCAAGCAACCATAGATTCCATGTTCGTAATTCGGCAAGTGACAGAGAAGCAGCTAGAATATCAACAGGATAGCTTCTGGGCTGTCATAGACCCTAGAAAAAGCATATGTTAAAATGAACAGAAGGATGCTCGCACCAGTACTGAAATATTATCTGAGAATGTAATAACTATGGGGAATGCAGGATATAGATCTAAAACAGTGATCTGAATGTGTTCTGGAACAGCAAGCCTCTTGGTATTAGAAATCAGATTGCATCAGGGGTTGGCCCTCAGTCCATTGCTGTTTATCATATTTATGGACTATGTCAGCAGGATGATCACAATGGGAAAACGTCAAAACCTGCAATATAGAGATGAAATAGCAATAAGGGCATCTTCAAAAGAAGACTTGTAGAAAATAGTAAACCAATGGTAGACCAGCCAAGCAGCCATGGGATGACAATGAACATGACTAAGACAGAGGTCACAGGGAACAGTAGAAGTGCCACAGGGAAACTGGTGTAGCCTAAAGGATTAATCTGCTTGCTTGCATAGATAAATTTATAAGAAAAGATATAAGTATTTGATTTATTGTAATAGGTTTATAAATTACTGAAAATAAGTTTGGCTGTAATGCAAGGGACCTACAGGCCAAAACCTGTATGTTAAGCTGAGGCAAAGTTAGTATATTTATATTACAACCTTTTACCCAGATAGCAAAGTTAACCTACATATTAAGATCTGTTACCTAAATAGATACCCACACATACGTCTAAGACCTTTTATCTAGAGCAACAGAAAATGGAAGAATGGAATAGGGTTTTTTCAATTTTGTACCCACAGACTTAACAGGTACACCATAAGGAAACTTATGTGTGTATGTTCATGTCATCAATACACACAAACATACTAGCCTATGGGGTAAATGTACCCTAACATTTCTGTGGGGGAGAAATGAAATTTGCTATAAGAGAGGATTTCTGGCACTTCCGCCCTATAAAAGAGGTGACCCACCTCGCTAGCATATGCTATCTATCCATGACAACTACTATTAGTAGGCCATACTCATTTTCTTTTCAAACTTTAAGTTCTTAGGGGACAAGGCTAAGTTTGGTTTCCCTAAACTTTTGTTCTTAGTTTTGTTTATTAGGTTTTAATTTTAACTTTAATTTAGTTAAGTAAACTGTAAGTTAGCTTCAATAGTTCTTAGCATTAGCTTCGTCTAAGCTCTGCACCTCTCACTCAAGAATTGAAAAACCTGAACTGCCAGAGGCGAGGTCCTGTGTCTTTTACCACTAGGTTATCAAAAAAGGGTGTAAGTATATCAACCAAAGCTTTGTAGCATACAATACTGTATTGCCATATGTATCTCTTAAATAGCAGCAATACAATTGTAACTTTGGAACTCTGATTATTTTACCATTTAATTACTATTTCATTAATTTTAATAAAAAGTCATTATGGCTATATCTGTCTCAGTGTGAGCTTCCTGTCACACCCCCGAGGATCCTTTGTAAATTCTGTGAATCCTAATTTGGGACAAAAACTTTTATCTTCTAATCAAACAGATTGGCAAGCCTAAAACCCATACTATCCAAATTAATATTATTAACACACCCTAAATCAGGCTACACTGCGGATAGAGATGAATAGAGTACAACTAAACCAGACTGACTGGTTCAATTACCTGAATGGCTGGATTACAGAAGACTGTGTTTGAACATGAGCCAAAAGCTAGGTTTGAGTGCTGGAAGTGTATAGAATAACATCCCAGGTGTTGCACATCAGAAGTGTATGCCACTGAGACTGAAAGCCCAATTATATAGAACAATGGTGCACCCTGTAACGCTGGCAGACCAGTGGACTAGAATGTATTCACTTGTGTATTAGTATAGATCAAAATGAGTATAAATTTAAAAGTGTATTCAGGAATTTAATCTTCATGAAAACTAGTGGAATGTTACTTGTACTGTTTTCACTTATCAGTTTCTGTTATTATGTAATAGCAAACATTTACATTGTGCATAACCCTGTAACTAAATAATCCATCAATGAAATTTTGTGAAATGCTAATAAAGGACTTTAACAGAAAATGCTAATTTCAAAGCAAGTGTCCATTACGTATGATGGTCAGGCATCAAAAAGCTAAGTGCATTCCTCACTCACTGACAAAGGAAAAATCCCACGAGGGTAGAAAGACTGTCAGCTTGCTTTCTGTCATAAGAAAAATATAAATATGGATTCTCAGAAAAATCCTTCATTTCTGAACTGTTTAGACCGGTCAGCCTCACCTCAGTCCCCAGAAAAATTATGGAGAAGCTCCTCAAGGATTCCATTTTGAAGCACTTGGAGGAGAGGAAGGTGATGAGAATGATGGGATGGATTGCACCCTCAGCAAGTTGGTGAATGACACTAAGTTGGGGGGAGAGGTAGATATGCTGGAGGGTAGGGATAGGGGCCAGAGTGACCAAGACAAATTGGAGGATTGGGCCAAAAAAAAAATCTGATGAGGTCCAACAGGGACAAGTGCAGAGTCCTGCACTTAGGATGGAAGAATCCCAGGCACTGCTACAAGCTGGGGACCGACTGGCTAAGCGGCAGTTCTGCAGAAAAGGACCTGGGGATTACAGTTGATGAGAAGCTGGATATGAGTCAACAGTGTACCCTTGTTGCCAAGAAGGGCATATTGGGTTGCATCAGTAGGAGCACTGCCAGCAGATTGAGGGAAGTGATTATTCCCCTCTATTCGGCACTGGTGAGGCCACATCTGGAGTATTGTGTCCAGTTTTGGGCCCCCTACTATGGAAAGGATGTGGACAAATTGGAGAGAGTCCAGCGGAAGGCAATGAAAATGATTAAGATCTGGCATACCAGTTGATCTGGGGTAAGTGAAACCTGATGTGGTGTGATTTTGGGTTTAAGTGACCATTATCACAAAGTCCAGTTCTTCTTCGAGTGATTGTTCATGTCCATTCCAAGCAGGTGTGTGCGCACCGCGTGCACGCCAGCCGGAAGATTTTCCCATAGCAGCGTCCGTAGGGTCGGCTCCAGTGACGGCTAGCTGGAACTTCTCTTGCTCTTTAGCAATCGTGGCAGTGTTCTATAGTTCTTGTACATAGTTTATTAGTTAGTCGTTAGTGTTACGGTTAGATAGTTAGGTGTCAGTTGGGGGGGGGGGGTTCCCCAACTTTTCGTCGCCCCGCTGGGGCATGCCCTGGTCCCCAGGGTTTAAACTCTGTCGGGACTGCGGGAAGTTTATGCCAAAAAGTGATCCGCACTCTTCCTGCTTGTGGTGCCTTGGGGAGACCCATCAAAGGGACAGGTGTCCTATTTGCAGGGCTTTTCGCCCCAGGACTCTCAAGGATAGAGAGCAGAGACTTAAAGTCCTCCTAATGGAGGCGGCACTGCGGCCGCAATCGGATCCCGGACCTTCAGAGCCGGCACCCAGCACTTCATCCTCGGTGCGCAGTACCCCGGCACCGGAGATAGGTCGTAAGGCCAAGGCCCCAAGACGCTGGCACCGCAGAGAGTCGGCGCATAAGAAATAGTCTTCGACAAGACGCCACTCTCCTTCGCCGGTGCCAGCTAAAAAGAACAGGCCATGGACCGAATAATTTCCCCACGGGGACTCTAAAGGTCGGGCGCAGTCCACGATTGTTACGGGGCAACCCGCGCCGCAGACCCATCCGGCCATCCCGTTGACTCCCGCCCCGAAGAGGGCAAGGTCGAGTCTGGAACACCATAGATCCCCGGACATTATGGAGGAGGTCCGCCTTCCATCGATGCCTGAGGCGTTCGAGGCCACCTCAGACCTCTTGAACCTTCCAGTGCCGGCGTCACCGCACCGGTGCAGTCAACCTCCGGCTGCCGCCGGGCCCCAGTATCACTCTAAGGGTAAACTGGCGATGCGCTCACCGCACTCTCCACGCAGCGCCATAGTAGCCCCCGGCAACTGTGGGCACTGCTCCTCCGATGCCCTCCTATTCAGAGACTTCTGACTCGGACGCGGACTACTACCGTTCTAACAGATCGAGGAGCAGATCGTCCTCGCGCAGGAGTGCCCAACCATACCCGCCACAGTGGCATCAGTAGGAGTGGCAACCACCTCCACAGTGGCTGTTCTGGACGCCATGGGCCTACCATCAGTCCGTGGGTCAGGCCTATGGGTCCCGCTCACGAACCGCTTCCGTCTCCTCAGCGTCTGGGGCACCGCCACTAATGCCACCGGCACCGCCGTCTGGAGTGTGCCACAAGGCATTATGGCACCCCCAGGTCAAATAGTGGCACCGACAGGGGCTTTGCTTCCTTCAGCGCAGGCACCGCCCAGCACTCCTTGGCGTTCGGTGGCGACCCCGGTACCGCCCGCGGTGCCGCATCTTGAGCCCACACTGGCTGCGCAGCCAGAGTACCGTGTGCCGCAGGCCATTACACAGGGAGACGTGCTAGATGAAGGCCAGCTACATGGAACATCTTCCTCTTCATCTCCGGATGAGGCAGTATCGGGAACTTCTGCTGCTCCGGCTTTAGAGGATAATAAACTCCTCCAACAGCTCCTTACTCGAGCGGCCCAGAGCCTCTCGATACAGACAGAACAGATCGAGGTGGACAACCGATCCTGTAATTGATATCCTGGCCCCGTCGGGCCCATCTAGGGTGGCCCTACCCCTCATAAAAACCATTGCGGACACAACCTGCACTTTGTGGCAAACTCCAGCCTCATTGGCCCCTACAGCCAAAAAGACTGAGAGGCGGCATTTTGTCCCAACCAAGGGCTATGAACATCTTTACACGCACCCCCCGCCGGACTCCCTGGTGGTGGATGCGGCTAACCAGAGGGAGCGACAAGGTTTTCAGGGATCCACTCCTAAAAATAGAGAGGCTAAGAAGTTGGACCTCTTCGGATGTAAGGTCTATTCAACCGGGGGCCTACAGTTGCGTATTGCCAATCAGCAGGCCATAGTGAGCCAGTATGGACACAACACATGCTCGGCTTTGTCTAGGTTTACGGACCTCCTCCCGTAGGATTCACGAACCGAGTTTTCAGCCCTGGTTGAGGAGGGAAGATTGATTACTTGAGCTTCCCTTCAGGCAGCCTTGGACACAGCCAATTCGGCCTTGTGCACGTTGGCTACTGGTCTCTTAATGAGGCGCGTAGCCTGGCTTCAAGTTTCCGGCCTTCCTCATGAAGTCCAACAGACTATACAGGACTTACCTTTCGAAGGGCCTACGCTTTTCTCAGAAAAGACGGACAAACAGCCCCATAGCCTAAAGGACTCGCCGACCACCCTCCGTTCTTTAGGCCTACACACCCCTGTTACTCAGCGTAGGCAGTTTAGGCCGCAACAGGCCCTGCGTCCATATCAACTTCAAAATCGAGGTGATGCCGTGTGCAGGACACCGTGGACTGGCAGGAGGAGGCAGCAACAGCAGCCCTTCGGACAGTCTTCTACCCAACCAAGGCCTCCGCGGGGCCTAGGCCACCATTTTGAGGGTTCGGTCGAGGACGGCCTACCGGACAGATCTCTGGATCCTCCCAACTTTACCTTTTCATCACGTCTGTCCCCCTTCTATCGTGTGTGGGCCCGGATCACGTCAGACGCTTGGGTGCTTCGCACGGTAGAGGAGAGATATTCTATCCAGTTTTCCTCTCTCCCACCCAACCAGCCCCCCTCCCCGTCCCTCTTCAGGGACCCCTCTCACGAGCAACTTCTCCTTCAAGAAGTTCAGTCCCTCCTTACAGCAGGGGCAGTGGAGGAGGTGCCTCCAGAACTACAGGGCAAGGGCTTCTATTATCGATATTTCCTAATTCCGAAAGTGAAAGGGGGCCTCAGACCTATTCTGGACTTGCGGCATCTCAACAAGTTTGTCAAGAAGCTCAAGTTCCGCATGGTCTCCCTGTCTTCCATCATTCATTCCCTGGATCCAGGAGACTGGTATACCACCCTCGACTTAAAGGATGCATACTTCCATATCGCGATAATCCCTCGCCACAGGCGTTACCTCAGGTTTCTCGTCGGCGACGTTCATCTACAGTTCACGATCCTACCCTTTGGTCTATCAGCAGCCCCAAGGGTCTTCACGAAGTGCATGGCAGTCGTGGCAGCCTTCCTCCGCAGGCAAGGGATCCAGGTATTCTCTTACCTGGACGATTGGCTCATCAAGGGCAGGACCAAGGCACTCGTGGAGGCTCAGGTGGTCTTCATCAGGCACACCTTCAGCTCCCTCGGCCTCTTACTCAACGAGGCCAAGTCCACTCTTTCTCCAACACAAAGAATCGAATTCATAGGAGCACTTCTGGACTTGACACAAGCCAGAGCATATCTCCCAGAGGCGAGATTCCGAACTTTGTCCAACATCATTCTCCGCCTCCAAAGTTACCCTACCACCACAGTTGAAGCTGCCTCAAATTACTAGGGCACATGGCAGCATGTACCTATGTCCTCAGACATGCCAGGCTCAGACTGCGCCCTCTCCAATCTTGGTTGGCAGGGGTTTATCGGCCAGTCAGGGACTCCCTACACTCAGTGGTGACGTTACCTCGTCCGGTGTTGGACTCCCTCCAATGGTGGCTTGACCCACAGGTGGTCTGCGCGGGGGTCCCTTTCCTTGAACCAGAGCCCTCCCTGACCCTGGTAATGGACGCGTCGGATCAGGGATGGGGTGCATATCTGGGCCACCTACGGACCCAAGGTCTTTGGTCAAGGGAGGATCTTTCATCGCACATCAATGTCAGGGAATTGCGAGCGGTACGCCTCGTATGCATGGCATTCAAGTCCCAGCTCGTGGGCAAGTGCGTTTCTGTCCTCATAGACAATACTCCAACGATATTTTATATCAACAAACAGGGTGGTGCTCGCTCCTCTCCCCTTTGCCAGGAGGCCCAAGCATTATGGGACTTTTGCGTACAGAACGTAATTCACCTGATAGCATCCTACCTCCCCGGCATGCACAACACGCTCGCGGACACACTCAGCCGTTCGTTCCAGGGTCATGAATGGTCTAGCCGCTGGGATGTAGTTCTCTCAATTTTCCGACTCTGGGGTCATCCGGGACTTGTTTGCTTCCAATGAGAACAGGAAGTGTCAATTCTGCTCCCTCATGGGACGCAGTCAGGGATCCCTATCAGACGCGTTTCTCCTCTCTTGGGCAGACGGGCTTCTTTACGCCTTCCCCCCGATTCCCTTGATTCACAAGGTGATCCTCAAGGCCCGCAGAGATCACGCTCGACTCATCGTCATAGCTCCTGCGTGGCCATGCCAGCATTGGTACGCGTCTCTTCTACACATGTCTACGAAGGTACCGCTCAGGTTGCCCCTACTACCGGACTTGATCACGCAGGATCGCGGTCGCCTCCTTCATCCGAACCTGGAGTCGCTCCACCTCACAGCTTGGATGCTCCATGGCTAAACCCACTGGAGTTACAATGCTCCCATCAGGTCAGACAGGTCCTGTTGGGCAGCAGGAAGCCGTCGACAAGGTCTACGTATTTGGCCAAGTGGAAGCGCTTCTCCCTCTGGGTTACACAGCATGGTCAGGGCCCCTTGCTCGCCCCAATCCCTCTCATCTTGGACTATTTGCTACATCTGAGACACCTGGGACTAACTCTCTCATCGATTCGAGTCCACCTTGCTGCAGTCTTCGCATTCCACCCTGGAGAGGGAGGGGGACCTCAGTGTTTGCAAACCCACTTGTTGGACGGTTCCTTAAGGGTCTTGACAGATTGTTCCCACATCTCCGTCAACCTGTCCCTGCTTGGGACCTCAATTTGGTCCTGTCTGTCCTCACGGGGGCTCCGTTCGAGCCGCTGGCTTCATGCTCGCTGTTATACCTCTCATATAAGGTCGCGTTCCTGGTGGCTATCACATCAGCACGGAGGGTATCGGAACTCAGAGCTCTGACATCCGAGCCTCCATACACAGTCTTCCACAAGGACAAGGTCCAACTCAGGCCGCATCCTGCGTTCCTACCTAAGGTGGTTTCCCCGTTTCACATGGGTCAAGACATTTGTCTCCCTGTGTTTTATCCAAAACCGCACTCCTCGGCTATGGATCGCAGGCTGTATTCTCTGGATGTTCGCAGGGCTCTCGCGTTTTATATAGAAAGGACGAGACCCTTCAGGAAGTCGACCCAACTTTTCGTAGCTGTGGCTGACAGTAGGCAGGGGCTCCCGGTCACGTCACAGAGGATCTCGGCTTGGATCAGAACCTATATCCAGGAGTGCTACAGTCGGGCCAATATACCAGCCCCGCCTATCATGGCCCACTCCACAAGAGCGCAGGCCTCTTCAGCTGCGTTCCTGGCCCACATCCCAACACAGGAAATTTGTAGAGCGGCCACCTGGTCCTCAATCCACACCTTTACGGCTCACTACGCCATTACGCACCAGGCTAGGGAGGATGCTGCATTTGGCCGTGCAGTCCTCCAGTCTGCAGTGACCTCCGACCCCACCACCTAGACTTGGGCTTGTGAGTCACCTGCTTGGAATGGACATGAACAATCACTCGAAGAAGAAGAAGAAACGGTTACTCACCTTCTCGTAACTGTTGTTCTTCAAGATGTGTTGTTCATGTCCATTCCAATACCCACCCTCCTACCCCTCTGTCGGAGTATCGGCAAGAAGGAACTGAGACGGTGGGGGGTCGGGTGGCCCCTATATACAGCGCCATAAAGGCGCCACTCCAGGGGGCGCCGGAGCCGACCCTACGGACGCTGCTATGGGAAAATCTTCCGGCTGGCGTGCACGCGGCGCACACACACCTGCTTGGAATGGACATGAACACCACATCTCAAAGAACAACAGTTACGAGGTGAGTAACCGTTTCTTTGTCTGGGTGGCAAGACAGGCTGGAGAATCTAAGGGGATTCCATGGTAAGACAGGTAGTGATCCAGATGTTCAAATTTGTTGCTGGCATGGTGAAATCTAATTATAGAACATAGCACCAGTTTGGGGTATCGTCCCTTGTTTTCTGATAGTCTGCCCTGAAGTAGGCACTCTGTTGTTAGCCACTCCAGACAGCGTGACACACTCCACAATGTGATATAGTGCAGAAGCCTGGGTGGTAGAGACTCAAGGTCAGTGCCTACAGGTGTTTGAAACAAGATGTCTTTGCACAATAAAGGATTACCGAAAGGGACAGACAGTGAAATGAAAGCATTAAGATGGAAGTCAGTCTGTGATGTGTCTGACAAAATCCAGGAAGGGCAACTTTGCTGGCTTGGATACATACAGAGGATGAACAAAGAGGACCTGGTGAAGATAGCATGGAGAGTATGGTAGGAAAGAGATCCTGAGGAAGCAATAGATGGATTACATCAAAGATGGTACGCAAGTGGACCTTAGTTTTGCTTTGGACAGACAAAGATGATGGATGCTTGTACAACAACTCATAGACTCATGACGGGGTGTGGGGTGGGGAGAAGATGATCACATCTATTGGCAGTAAATAGAACTAGTTCCAGTCTTGGAACAGATTACACGGACCTCTAAAGGAAGAAATACACAATAATTAGAAAGTGATGTACTTTATTTCTTCTTCATTTCTACCCTGAGATATGTCAATGTACAAAAAAGTTAACTTATCTGAAATACTTTGTTTTGTATTTTTAAAGGACTTCACTATGGACTGTGGTATCTGTTATGCTTACCGACTTGATGGTGCTATTCCAGACCAAGTGTGTGGTGATTCCCGATGTGGACAACCTTTCCATCAGGCTTGCTTGTTTGAGGTAAAATTTTTATTAATGTAACAAATCCACTTGTCTCCAATTCATGGATCCCAGATATGGGCTTCTGTATGAGAAGATTATGGAAGCAGTAGAAATAGCTAGTTAGGTGACGGGTAAAGGACTGGTGAGAGAGAACTGTATCAGCAATGAAGCAGAACCACTAAGCCTTCTTAATTACATGTTCTTATTGCTGCTTCCCTAGTGTTCTCTCCCACTCACTCACTTATGTTTTATAAGCTCTTGGGGGGCAAGGAACCTGCCTTACTGTGTGTGTACAGGCAAAAGTCTAACCAAGACAGGAGCTTCTAGGTGCTACAAAAGTAGAACAATTTAGGAATACTGCTCTGAAAACCTCAGAAGGGAGGGTGGGGAAAGTCAGAGAGGATCACTTTAGAGTACTTTCAGTAAGTGAAACCAGTTAATCATTATAGGTAGATTGTACAGAAAACTAATCCAGCGAAATTGCATGCTCCTAATCCAGTGTGAAAACACTACAAATCAGGGATTTATCAGCTACTATGGTGAAGAGCACTGTTTATAAGAACTTTAGACTCATTCCTAAATTGGGCATAAAATAAATATTAAGTTTTCATTATCTTATCTTGCAGTGGTTACAAGGTCTTCCTTCTAGCAGACAAAGTTTTAATGTCATCTTTGGTGAATGTCCATATTGTAATAAGGTAAGGAAATATTTTAGGAAGTCTAATGGAAATGTAAAATTGAATAAAGTACAGTACTGGAGCTTAGGAAAAGTGGAAAAAAATAAGAGCAGCAGACAGTTTATCAAATTAACATTAACACTTGTGGATTTTATATTTTATTCCACTGTAAAAATTACAGCATGGAGTTACTAATTACATGCACCAGTATTTAAAACTATTTGTTGAAGCAAGTGTAAAAGTAAAATGTAACAATGTCTATATATCAAACATATACCAGAGTCCTTTATCATGAAAGACACAGGAGATTTAATTCTTCTACGATTTTTAGTATTACTCTATGAAAGGACTAGTTCTGGGAAGCATGCCTAATGTTCAGAATAGAAACAACCAAATAAAAATAGTGTAACACACATGTAGCCTTGTACATTGTAGATGTTAAAACGTATCTATTTACAGTATGTTACTTCACAAATCTTTTTTAAGCCAATCTCGGTGAAAATGTCTATGAAGAAACTTTGAAAAAATAACTTGTACAGCTTTGGGCTAATGACACTGCACATAAACTCAAGACATTTTAAATGGTGACATCAAAGAAAATACAACACAAGGAATATTAATATCAGAAGTACAAGTATCGTCATGGTGTATCGGTACCTCTCTTCAGTAAATGCAAGCTTAAAAATACTGGATACAGAAGGACAAGTAAAATCTCTATTGGGTTCTTGCAAAGATACTGGAGAATATGTAATGCTGTTTTGGTGGTGTTTCTTTTTAACTTCACAGAAAACTTTTTGGGGATAGTGCCTGTGTAGTTGTCTTACGGTGTTTTCCTGCAAGGGAGAAAAAAATATTTAAATTTTCCAGCATTAAACCGAGTGGAAATCTGAATCAGAAGAACAAAGATTAAAATATTCTGTTGCCCTGCTTTCTGGGGGAAACTTATATGCAAATGTCAAAGATCTACAGTGAAAGAACACATTCTGACAAGCTTTTAGCAAGATTTGCTAGTAACATTTGCTGAGCTACTAGGAGTAGAGATTTAACCCCTCTAGATTTTGTGAACATTCTGTCAGATGCAGCTAGCATTTAAAGCTTTATAAATGTACAAATACAGCAGTGTTCATATCTTCAAATTAATGGGGGGGTTGGTTTTATAACATGTAGACTAAATGCTTTGCAAAAAAATATTTAGAATTCCATTTTTAAAAGCAACATCTAAAGGGCTCTAATACCTTTATCTTTGTCCTCAAAATTGTGAAAATCTGTAACATTTACAATATTCTTGCTAATAAAGCTATTATATACACATTCTAAACTTCTGATTGTCAAATCTGCTGTTCCTATTTATTTAGATTTCATTTTATATCTCCACAGTACAGCAAAACTTGTCATGATTCTTCAAAGGTGTAGGTGGTTTTTAATTTCCAGAAGCATCAACTTTATGGCTTCTTTGTCCTGCTTTGATCTTCACCTCGGATCTGACTCCTGCACCCACAATCCTTATTGCAAAACTTTCTTCAACGCACAGTTGTGTGTCTTGTATTTCAGTCCTGAAGTTTCTTTTGACAGTCATCTCTTCCTTTAATGTTGCTATCTTCCCATCCCACTTTCCTTCTGCAAACTCCTGTCCGTAAATATCCTGTTCGGACTATAGTTTTCATATTCCATCCCACTCATTTCCACACTCGTTTTGCTAAATCCATCCCACTTATCCTATATCCTGGCATTGTAGTCCTTTGGATGAAAAATTTGTAGTGGAGAAAGTCAACATGAACCCTGAATTATCTACCATTTGGCTTGCCAACTGATTCTCCTTCCTAATTAGATACAGAAGTAGTTCTTTGACACTTCAACTCAGTCCAGTTTTCACCACAAAAAGATAAGAACTACCTCATGAACTATTTTTCTCTATGGTCTCCAATACAATCCAATGATGTTCTACTCTGATCCTCTGTCATTTGCCTTCATGCCTACTCTCATGCTCTTCCTTCCCCAGCTGGTGGTTTTTTCCTCTGCCTTCACACATACCACTGTTTCCTGTACCCTAAAAGCCCTTCTGGCTCTCCAACTATCACCCATTTCACTTCCAAGTCCTTGAGCAAGCTCTGAACTCTGGTTTTCTTGTCAGTTCACTCTCCTCGACTCTTCTCCAATCTATTCACTATTTTCCAAGTGTCTAATGACACCTTTCTTGCATCTTTTCTCCATATTCATTCAATAGTCTGTTACACTGCTGACCACACCATCCTTTTATACCCCCTACCACTATAGTCTCCTTCAACTGTTCTACTTCCCTCCACTCTTGGTGAACTGCAGGGTTCTGGTTCTTGTTCCTCTTTTCTTCCTTCTTTTCCTGAGGTTAAGGTCATATCTTCATTCACGCCTACCAACTTACACATAACACTCCCAATTCTACTATTTCCACTCCTGATCAGTGGCATAGAGATATGGCAATTTCCTGATGTATTGCCTCCAAAAAAACTAAATGGCTAAAAACAGATCTCTCCCTACTTATTCCACGTCCCGGCCTTGGGGTTGCAGTGTCATAAATGACTCCACCTCTCACAATTAGGCTGCTACTGAATTCTGTAACAACTTCAGTGTTTTCCAGTAAATGTCACTCTCCCTCCATAAATACAACTCTTCTCCTGCCTTAATACGTTGATGACTAGACTCTTGCAAACTCCTTTGCTCTGTCAAACCTGGCTTCCATCTTCCAATCCATTCAAAATGCCACCATCAAACTCATCTTCCTTTCCTGCTGTTATAACCATGTCATATACTGAGTCCTTTCTCTGACTCTTCATCATATTCAGCTTCCTCATCATCATGGCTGTGCCTAGACTAGAATAAGGGTATATAAAATCTTGCCTTTCCAACATTCTTTTGCTTGGACCATGCAGCCTTTGTTTCTTTTTATCTATGCCTGAAATATCCTTCCTAATTTTGTACATCACAACCTCTCTCTCTCTCTCTCTCTCAAATGCACCCAAAACCATTGCTGCAATCCCAATATTACACTCCTACACCAACTTTCCAAATCAGTTAAATAAAAGGAAGTAGCAGGAAGCATACCATCCAAACATATTCCCATGGCTTCATTTTGTATATTCTTTCTCCAACTTCTCTCCCCTTAATTCTTCATCTGAATGTTTTAACATGCTGACATCCATATTTAAACTTAATTCTCTTGTTAGTGATATGAGTACTAAGGAACAACTATAGTGGAATAGCCAGATTAATAGACATATTTCCCAATTACTTTTTCCTCCTAGGGAAAAATAACTCAAAAATACTAATGGCAACCAAATATTATGCAAAAGGCTGGTTTAGATCTTACTGTTCTTGATACCTGATCCTTCTCACTGGTTGCTCCTTCTATTGCTTATTCCCTCTTTCAGTCACCCAGGTACATATATTCCACAACTCCTCTCCTCCAGCTGTACTAAATGTACCCTTGTCTTCCAGCTAAGTGCAGCTTCTGATATCACCACAAAGCAGGGGGAAAAAAAGAGCACAAATACTCATACTGCTTCACAAAACCATGATTTACAGTGAAGGTAGCACCACTGTCACTGGCAGTTTCCACTAATACACATGATCAATGTCAGGGACCAGTCTCTATCATTCAAAACCCAGGTGATAGACTACCTAGGTGGAGAACCAAAAGCTGCTGCTTTCAGGTAAGAGGCAGGTACACAGGGGGTTGAGGATCTGTGGGAGAGGAGGGATTTGGAGGGAAGCAAGTTGGGGACGGTCCAATTGGCTATTTATATTCTAGCATCCAAAACAGAATTTCTGCATAAAAATAGCATCTTAATTGCTACTTCCAACCCCTTCTCTGCATTCCCTCCTTAACAGGGAAGGTGATGTAAAAAATTCAGGGCTGTTTCGGCAGGACTCAGGAGCCTTTTTTAGTCTAACCCTTTTCCTATTAGCTGTGGCCCTCTATCCGAATTGTTCTGCTCACCACTTGCCTGACAGAAGCCCTGGGGCAGTTTTGCTGTTTCTTCTTCACTTTGATGCCTTGTACTGGAGTCTCCATGCAGCAGACTGCTTGAAGCAAAGATTTTTTTTAATAAAGCTGCTTTTAAAGTCTCATTCTGGTGCTTCATAAATGAGTTTGATTTCCTTATCCAGTAAGAAGGGCACAAACTGAGTAAATAGTTATTGTTAAATTAACTTAAAACCAAAGGGGAAGGGGGAGAGAGAGGTTTCTTTTTCTAAGATGCCTTCTATTCTGAACTATTCTTACTCACAAATAGCACTGAAGCCTTTACGGAATGATTCTTTGCACTCTAGAAGCGTGAAGCTGAGCAGTACAAATCCACTTCGGCATACAAGTTGAAGTTAATGAGGGCTTTCAAACCTTTTATATAATAGAGCAGCTAATGCTATTGAGCTTTGATCAGTTAAATACTGACTCTTCAAGGCCTGAAACCAAGATTTTATTATTGGTTAATAATAAATGCAGTTATTGAAGACCCAACTATTACCAAACAGTGCTATCAGAGCAGTTTCCCCGCTGTAAATTAGAAGAGGAAACTATTATTGACTTGCAAATGTTTACTTTAATGACAACCACTACACAAAAATGTTATCATGGGTACCATTCTTAATACCTGTGACTGTAGAGCTAATGTTAAAGGTACTATTGGAAGTGCAGCACTACTTTTGCACCTAATGCACAATGATGACAGAACATTTTTTGAACTTCATTATATTTTTGGAATAATGTCATCCAATGGTGTCTAAGCATATACCAAATTCTAGTGTTACTGTGACTAATATCTAGCTTGCTGTTTGCACACATCTATTGTGCCAATCTTTCAGTAGAAAGAAATACAGAACTATTAAAGCAGAACTTTTTACAGGGTTTCAAATATACCATGTATGTTCTACCGTAATGTCAAAAATCTCACCAGCAGTGGTTCATTATGCTGACACATCTGGTTCAATCCACCTGGTTTCTCTTGTTCTTGTAATTGTCTGTGTGTTACCTGAATATTAGCTTTTCTCAGACAATTATGTTCTTCATCATCCAGCTTGCTTTTTTTTGTTTAAACTGTTTTGGTGTAGGCTTTGGTAAATCAGCCTGTTAACATAGAGTTAATAACATGATATAATGAAAACATTCAACAATTCAGAAAGAAAAGTGCTTACCTACAGTACTAAGAATAAAACAAAGGCAAACTTCAAAAAAAGTCAGAGGATACTAAAAGTATGTAAAAAATAGTTGTCAAAAAAATCTTTCCTACAAACAGGACAAGACTAGTGCTACTGTTATGCTGTCATTAGCTACTACATTACTGAAAGGCATTTTTATGGAAATTATTATTATATATCATTATATATACACTTAACCTTTACTGGGAATGGAAACACTTATATTTTTGGAATAATGTTATCCAATGGTGTCTAAGCATATACCAAATTCTGGTGTTACTATGACTAATATCTAGCCTGCTGTTTGCACAAGTCTATTGTGTCAATCTTTCAGTAGAAAGAAATACAGAACTATTAAAGCAGAACTTTTTACAGGGTTTCACATATACCATGTATGTTCTACCATAATGTCAAAAATCTCACCAGCAGTGGTTCATTATGCTGACACATCTGGTTCAATCCACCTGGTTTCTCTTGTTCTTGTAATTGTCTGTGTGTTACCTGAATATTAGCTTTTCTCAGACAATTATGTTCTTTATCATCCAGCTTGCTTTCTTTTTGTTTAAACTGTTTTGGTGTAGGCTTTGGTAAATCAGCCTGTTAACACAGAGTTAATAACATGATATAATGAAAATATTCAACAATTCAGAAAGAAAAGTGCTTAAATACAGAACTAAGCGTGCTGGGCTGGGGGTGAGTGGCCCCTCTCCCCGGCTGCAGAAGCTCCAGGGCTGGGGGGAGAGCATCTCTCCTTGCTGCGGCAGCTCCAGAGCTAGAGGAGATTATCTCACCGCTATAGCCCTGAGCGCCTGCGCAGCCCTTGATAGGCTGCTGCGCAGCCACGCAGCTTCGAGAGAACTTAAGACTGGGAGCTATACTCAGGAGTTCATGCAATTTTTTTCCAGTCTTATACCCACTCTGAATGTCAAAGGATGTTTGGTTTTGGCATTTGTAACTCTTAAGGTAAATGTAGCTAAAACACAGCCTGTAGGCCACGTGCTGCCCTTCAGCACTTCTGGCACACTAAACAGTTCTGCAGTATTAACAGTCACATGTGGCCCTCTGCACAGCAGTTCTTCCTGGATATAGAAGTTACAAATTAAATCTGCTTCCTTTGGTGGTGTTGATTAAGTAGTTCAAGAATGGGAATTACACAAAGAAATAATAAAAGGAGAGTATTGTACCAAAGTGGATTATAGGAGAGCTACTCCATCAGCCGCCAAGCAAGAGCTGAAACACAAAACCTCTAACTATTGCAGGTCTAATTCCAAAAAATTAACAAGTATAATTTTCAAAAGTGCCTACGGTCCGGTTTTTGAAAGGTGGTTAGGTACTGAAAGATGCAGATAGGCACCTAGTGTGATTTTTTTCAAAGATAATTATCTAAATACTTTTTAAAATCTGATGCTTAGATTCTCTCTCTGAAGTTCACTAGGAGTTCAGCTCCCAAGTGCCCAATCCACTTTTCAAATGGGACTTAATTTCTGAAAAATGTTACCCCATACCCGTTTTTCTCTTCCCCACTTAAATGAAGTGCATCATGTTTTGTGCATGTCAAAAAAAATAAAGTAGTATATTACCTTAAATCTATCAGATAGGACCTCTGATTATGCTTGGGCTATTCAGCTATAACCCTAGCATCCCAGATAGATATGAGAGAGCTAAAAATATTTATCTGATGCCCAGAAGTATAGAAAGCAAATAGACATGGCTTCTATCCCAATTATCCCTTCTAAGATGATAGAGATGGAAGGAAATAGGAGGACAAGGTTAACATTAATAAGAGTAAGGAGGCATGGAGTGCAGTATTCTCAGTCAGCTGATGACACTGTATGTCAGTCTCATCTGACTTGGACAAGGTGGTTCAGTGCCTCAGCCAGTGTATAGATGAGAACAAGCTGGCTGAAGCTCAGCCCAGACAAGATTGAGGTGAGGGTGGTGTGGAGCAAGCAGCTGGAGATGGCAGATACAATATCAGTTCCTTTGAGCGTGTACATCCACCATTAGTTACTAGGGATTTCAAGTTAGGGGGGACTTTAGATCCCTCCCTGCCTTTGACAATCTTTACAGCAGTAACCCAATCATCCTACCACCATCTGCATCAGGGTAAGAGACTGTGATCTTTTAGTTGCAAACAGTGCCACTGTTATCCATACTTGTTACCTCAAGATTAGTCTACTGAAATGTGCTCTCCCTTAAAACTATTCAGAGACTACAGCTGGTGCAGAATACAGCTGCGCACTTATTGAGACTGGGGCACCTTGCTGGGAGCACATGACACCAGTGCTCTGGCCTCTGCACTGGCTGCCTACGGATCTCTAGGGAGAGTTTAAGTTGTTGGTTATGACCTATTGTGACAGAATACACCCCTGTATTCACCCTATAGTCTATTGCAATAATCTTTGTACAAAGTATGCCTCATAAGGAATCACTTAAATTCATAATTTGCTGGTCAGTATTGTCCTGGTAAAGCTTGTGTCAACACTGCATGTGAAGTTATAAGATTCCCCTCTGTTATTAACATGTTCCAAACCCCACAGCCCTGCCTGAACTGAAGTTGGCAAACAGGTCTGTCCTAAACAAAGGGGTGTGTGCTTTGCTTAATTTGCATTTAAGCAGTAAACAGAGTCACCAAGCAGGAAGGGAGAACAAAGGAAGCTAAAACAGCTAAGAAAAAGACAGCAGGGAACATCCTTCCACATGGACTTTGTCTCCTAAATGCACAGCTGAAAACGTTTTTTCAAGAGGGGTACTGAAACTATAAAAAGGAGGAACACCCACGGGACCCGTCTCTCTCTCCCCCTGCCCATCACATTCACTGCATCTGAAGAGACAAAGGAAGGATTCATTGGACTTAAGGGAGGAGTCCTGCCCTGAGAGTTTGGTCAGTAATCTGCTGGAGCATGTGGTTATTTTTCTTGTAACCATTTCTGACTTTAATGCCTCATTATTTGTACTTCCATAAAATCTCTTTGTAGTTAATAAACTTGTTTTACTGTTTTATCTAATCCAATGTATTTATCTCAAATAGTTATTCAGACACTTCAATTTAAACTGGCATATTATTCCCTGAAAGGAATAACAAACTTAAAATATTTGTACTGTCTAGGAGAGGGCTGGGCAGTAACAGGACATATATTTCTGGGGGACATCTGGGACTGCAATATAACCAAGGCTAGTGAGAGCCAGAGTGTAACCCAAGTGTGGCTGGCAGGCTGCAGTTACACAGAGACACTGAGGGTGTGGTTTGCATGCTGGAAAACTGTTTGTGACCAGCCCAGATGGGAGCAATTTCAGCAAGGCATTGTAAGGCGTGGGTGACACAGACCCCACTGGTCTGGACTATACGCTGGTATGTTACACCTATAAAGCCCTCAATGGCATCCCCTCCCTGTATCATATTGCCACAGCTGCAATTAGAAAGGACACCTTAGTTGGATCACCTGCCTAAGAGAGTGGAGCTGCCAGCATGTTCTCTTTGTATGCTCAAGACTCTTGAGCTGCTCCCCAACTTGTCTGAAATAACAGAATTTGGTGACCACATGGACATTCTGCAAAAGCCATCTGTAAAGTGTTTTGTTTTTATTTTTTTCCAGGGAGGGCTGAGGGTATGCTTCCCATAATGAATGAAAGAGATTCTTTAGGTGCCTGAATGGCTGAGTTTCTATTAAATGATTAATGCTAGTGAGATTTTATTTATCTTGTAATCATGTTAGGGCATGCAGAGTCTTGGATAGGTGTCTATCTTAATGAAAAATGACAAGTTATTCAACTGTAACAGGAGTTTGAGTAGCTTCAGTATAGATCCATGTGGCTGGACCCAATCCAGAACCTTCTAGAAAGCTTTGACTGCTGGGGACTGTGCCAACTTTGCCTGAAGTCACAGAATTCTCCAAGTAAGGTTGGGGCTGTGGCTCATTACATCCTCAGTTTCTTCCACATATCACAATCTAATATACATTCCCAAGAAGGGGGTTGGAGGTTGTGGATCTGTATTTACACTCGTCCCTTATGAAATCAAGTTACATGTCAATTTTTCTTTCTCCAAACGTTGTCATTATTGATCTGCTGCAGCCAGTTGACTTTACAGCAGCCCTATGGCACACCTCAGCAGCCAAGTCAGCCATTTAACCTTTGGCACTGGGGATATGATTCCTATCAGTGGCAAGGACTCCCTGGGACAGCACCATTACCACTAGATCCTTTTTTCTTTTTTCTTTTTTTTTAAATATAGTACGAGCAAGTAGGATTAATAATTTATGGCATGGTGGTGCTTCCTCTCTGTCCCTGGCTATTGAAAAAGAATAGCATAGAACAAAGGTAACAAGTTCTTTGGCTTTAGACTTAAAGACCTCTAGAGTCAGTATGGTGTAAAGATACTGGAACAGGTTCTGGCTCTTGGTCTACCCAGGATGCTCTCAGGGCCTTCAGGCAATACTGATTCAGTCACATACATTTCACCAAACATCAACTAGGCACTTCATATTTCCAATTGGGACTAAAAATTACCTAATGCTAAAAAAATTAGCTGCTTCCAACAGCTATCTTGAATTGGGGGTAAGAGAAAATGGCTATGGAGCTATCATAACGGACCGTAGGAAGTTCCAGCTGGAAGGAAGTGAAGGGTCACTTCTACTTATACAGTCTCACATGGAGCACTGCATGGCTCAAGGCAGGTTCCATATGACCCCAAAACAGGTTTCTAGAGAATTCTGGATTTGGTGTGGAGTGTGCAGGCAAGAATGAAGCATTACTGACAATACTCAGAGAATGTTGTTACACTGAGAGATTGTAAATGCTTTG